GGGCAAATCCCACACCAAAAATAGTGCCGACAGTGGCGATAGCGGCCCGAGGAAGGTGTGTTAAGGCGGCAGTGACCGGAGGAGATGAGCGTGTCGTGGCGGCAGTGGCCTGAAGAAATGGGTGTGTTGTGGAGGCAGTGACCCGGACATGCAAAAAGGTAGGTGAACATGTAGAAAATTATGCATATCTACACACATAACATGCAGTAGTGCAAGTGGTCGGTCGACCGAGCCGTGGTGGCTGGTCGAACCAAAGTGATCAGTCTACCGGTTCGGGATGACCGATCGAGGCATAAGTGGTGTCGACAGGTGTAGGACGACCGATCAAGGCACAAGTAGTGTCGACTAGTGCGGGACGACCGATCAAGGCACAAGCAATGTCGGTGCAATTGTAAATGAGAGATACAAGGTTCAAGTGCAAGTGCAACGTGCAAATCCAAGGTCCAAGCGAAAATGCAATGTGCAAAGTGCAAGTGCAAGTGTCGGTGCGATATATGACATACAATATATAACATGCAAGACATGCACATGCAAATAATTAGGTGCATATGATCACATATGATAGTGAGTCATGCTTATACTAATGACCTCACATGGGAAACCTAAAGTTTAGACCCTTGGATGTGCGGCATCGCCGCCTCTTGCTCTAGTGAGGAAATTTGGGGAGTTTCTCCCCAGATCTCCGAGGGCAAAACTCTCCATGGTGTCGCGAAATAGGATAGCTACAAAGCTTTTCTTATTTTGTGAACTCCTCCAGAGTTTGTAAAACTAGCCAGCTACGAAGCTTCTCTCGCTTTGCCAAGTTCGACTTCCCAACATCTCCAAGTAAAGTTGGGGAATCCAAAGCAAGGGAAATGAGAAACTCCAACCCATCGGGACTTGTGCTAAGGCTCAAAACAAGAGGGGAGACACTCGGCTCTACGGAGGGTGTTGGGTCATGCATAGGAAGTCCTAACTTAAAGACTAACTCTAAGAAAATCAACGATCCATCACGCAGGCACTTCATCGCGCGGACCGACGCCGACGTACACACCCCGTGTGGGCGATCAAACCCACACACTTAGACTCCACTATTTCTAAGGCTGGCTAGGAGGTAAGTGACCAAAGAAAAATATGTTGAGATTTTCATACATATTTTACATTATTTTTGATGATATTGCACTTTAAAGAAAGGTATTGTTGATGTTTTATTGCAGGAATGATGAATTAGGGTCATTGGAGCAAACAAATGCAAAAAGGAGCGAATTTAGAGCGAAAAGGACTAAAATGTGAAGATTTGAACTAGGGCGCAGACGACGAGCCCAACGGCGCCGACGGTGGACTTTTCCCGAGACTCCATAATTAATTCACTTAGAAGGCCCGTCGACGGCGCCCTCGAGGCCGCCGACGGCGAGCTCGGCGGGGAGGTGCCACACAGCGATG